CAGTAACCTTTATGTATCTGACAGTGTGTGTACAGTAACCTTTATTTGTTTGACAGCCTGTGATGAGTGCATCAGTCTTGGACCGGATGATCCGCCATGAAAAGAAGATTGGTTCCGAGTACAGTACAGCAGAAAACTGCATAGAGATACAGGTGCTCATGTTTTACTGTAATTAAAGGTTAAAGTTCAGTTAAGTGAGTGTAATAGATGTTTGTGATTTTTACCACTGGGGATCATGTGTAAATCCAGTTTATCATTTTCAAAAAGATCTAAAATCACAAATTTTTGTTGCCAGTCAGTAGGCTCCAGCAAATTATACAATTTAATTACTTATTTGATGTACGCATAATATATTTTGCTCCTAAGTAAAATTAAATACATGATAATGTTTAATGGTTTGTAGTCAAGCAGTATTCATTTAGTGAAATCTGAAGATATTGTACATGCTTGCTATGGGATTGAAGTTTTCGAGTTGTGCCCATTGCTGATTTTGTAATTTGGGACCAATTGTGATAAGATTTAAATAAATAGTTCCACTGTGTTCCCAGAGACATAACTGGTACGGTCCAGGATGTTGCACTTTATATTATAAAAAGTCTGCAACAAGAATTTCACCAAATGCATGATTTGATGGATTTTGGTAATGAAAAGTGCGATCAGATTTTTGATTGGTTAATCCTCAAATTAAGTCCTAAATAGACATTTGCTCATAAAGGCCAACTATTATTCCTTCCTCCCATCTTGTGTATGGCGTATGTTTGAATAGAATACTGCTGGTCTTTGTTATGATGAAATCAACTTAATCTCCAATAGATTTACTTCAGCAACTGAAGGTCAAACCCAGCTTGAGGCAGATGAGTGTAGGGGATATTTTGATCAGATGTTAGCTATTTTGCCTGTGTACCTTTGTACTTAATGCCCAATTTTTTTTATTTTGTAGTCACTCCAGCAAGCAGCCTTCTTAATGAACATTTGTCATGTGGTTCTGGTGATACAGGACTGGTTCACGGACACTAGCTTTCTTAGGTACTGATAATGTTACTTGTGGAATATTATACTGTTCTATGTGATATAGTTTAGGGATACCCTTATTGTGTTTGAGATTTTCAGCAGTAAGTCTAAATTATACTATCGTAAATTGAGTTTTACTTGTAACATGATCAGGTATAGTTATTAGCTCACCTGCCCAAAGGTACCTACTTGCAGGTGAGCGATACAGGCCCTCTGGGCCTCTTGTATTTATATACCTAAGCAGAGATAATTATGCACAGTACGGTTGCCTACATTCTAATTCATGCAAAGCTATAATTACTGAAAACAGATGTAAAAAATGTATTGTATAACAGTACAGTAAAATGTATTGTATCACAGTACAGTAAAATGTATTGTATCACAGTACAGTAAAATGTATCAAACCAGAGCAGTTTGTCAATACGCATACATAATGACCACTATAAATGAATAAAATCTTCAAAGGGCAACTCAGTATTTAAACTTGAACTATAGTATCTTAGTAACCATGGCTACCATAGTTACCATCATAGAAACCTGCTTCCCCTGTTTTTAGCTCACCTGCCCGAAGGTGTCTGTCAACTTTTCCTTTAAAACGATGAGTCTGGCCTCCCTGGGGTTTGAGGGGCGGGGCCCAATAGGGGAAATATAGGTAAAACCTTTATAATCCTTCTTCTACCATAGGGATTAAGGGATATTATCCTAATTTAGTCTGGAGCATCCTAGGCAAAAGGGACTCAATTTTGTATAAACAGTGGGTCTGGGCCCCCTAGGGGCTGAGGGGGGGCCCAATAGGGGAAATAGAGGATTTTTTTCTCCAACTATGCAAGTGAAGGGATTTAAACCAAATGCAGTCTGAAGCATGCTTAGGGACAAAGGAATCAATTTTGTTTAAACTGAGGTGTGTGGACCCCCTTCTTTGGGGCAGATGAGTGGGTCCAATTAGGGGAAATATAGCCAATTCTTTAAAATCTCTCTTCTTCTGTAGGAATGAAAGGATTTGGTCCATATTTGGTCAGAAGCATCCTTAGGGGAAGGGGAACAAATTTTGTATAAACCGTGGGTCTGGCTCCCCTGGGAGGTGAGGGGCGGGGCCCAATAGGGGAATTATAGCAAATTCTTTAAAATCCTTCTTCTTCTGTAGGAATGAAAGGATTTGTTCCATATTTGGTCAGAAGCATCCTTGGGGGAAGGGGAACCAATTTTATATAAACCATGGGTGTGGCCCCCAGGGGCCTAAGTGGCGGGACCCAATATGGGAAATAAAGCAAATTCTTAAAAATCCCTCTTCTTCTGTAGGAATGAAAGGATTTGTTCCATATTTAATCTGAATCCTCCTTGGGATAAGGGGAACCAATTTTGTATAAACCGTGGGTGTGGCCCCCAGGGGCCTAAGTGGCAGGGCCCAATAGGGGAAATATAGCATATTCTTTAAAATTCTTCTTCTTCTGTAGAATGAAATGATTTGTTCCATATTTGGTCAGAAGCATCATTGGTGGAAGGGGAACCAATTTTGTATAAACCGTGGGTGTGGCCCCCCTGGGGGCTGGGGGGCGGGGCCCAATATGGGAAATATAGCAAATTCTTTAAAATCCTTCTTCTTCTGTAGGAATGAAAGGATTTGGTACATATTTGGTCTGAAGCATTCTTGGGTAAAGGGGAACCAATTTTGTATAAACCGTAGGTCTGGCCCCCCTAGGGGCTGAGGAGCGTGGCCAAACAGGGGAAATATAACAAATTCTTTAAAATCCTTCTTCTTCTGTAGGAATGAAAGGATTTGTTCCATATTTGATCGGAAGCATCCTTGGGACAAGGGGAACCAATTTTGTATAAACCATGGGTGTGGCCCCCCAGGGGCCTGAGGGGTGGGGCCCAATAGGGTAAACATAGCAAATTCTTTAAAATCTTTCTTCTTCTGTAGGAATGAAAGGATTTGTTCCATATTTG